AGTTTATACTAAAAGAATATTAATAGATTCACGGAAGCGTGATTTTGTTTTCTAATTAGCAAATTAGAATTGTTTTTTGCCTATTAATTACTATTTAGCTATAATTTTAATTAAATAGGCAAGTATTGCATTTTCAAAGTATAATAAACATAATAATAACAACAGTATTATATTATTTATAGGTGTAGAAAAAGCACGTACTAAGAATTATGCCGCGAAAGCGTAAAGTGAATTATTTCCCAAAGCTCTAATAAAACTCGAACTGTGAAAGTAGCTAGACTTAACGAGACGTTTTCACAAGCCGAACTGCGAAGGCTTGAACAGGTAGAGCGTGAGGCAGCCCACAGAGCTGCCGAGATACCAGAGCAGTCCCAAGCTAGGCGTCGACAGCATGCTGAATATTTGGCATCTCAACGAGATGTTGAATAACCAGAACAACCCCAAGATCGGCGTCGACAGCGTGCTGATTATGTAGCATCTCAACGGGCTAACGAGACACCAGAACAGTCTCATGCTCGGCGTCAACAGAACGCTGAATATCTGACATCTCAACGGGCTTCTGAGACACCCGAGCAGTCTCAAGCTCGGCGTTTTCAGCAGGCTACTTAGATGGCGTCCCCTTTGGGATGCCATGTAAGTCTCCTGTATCTTCAACCCTTCAAGCCCCTTCAGCAGCTTCAACAGTTTCTGTAGCTCTTTAGCTACAGAAACTGTTGAAGGAGCTACAGAAACTGTTGAAGCTGCTGAAGCTCGCAGGCGTGCTATTGCTGAAAGGGCACAACAGCGACGAATAATATTTACAAGAAACGCGTGGGGGTATTCAATAAAGCTGCTTTTGAGTACGACGAGCTCCTGATTACGAAAGCCACAAGCTTATAAAAATAGAAGCGATTAATAAAGAATGCAGATTTTGCGGTGCTCTTAAATGGAAAGAGGAAGCTGCAGGCATATGTTGTTCGGGAGGAAAAGTAGCTCTTCCTTCAATAGACGAACCTGTTGTACCTCTTAAAGAACTTTTTTCAAATGAAACAGATGAGTCTCGCCGTTTCCTGAAAACATAAGGAAATACAACACATGCTTATATGCTTGATAACATTGTGTCGATGGCAGGATTTTGCCCGACTTCAATCTAAGGGCAAATATACCACACAATTGGCGCTTTGCTTCCTGCTACTAATACGCAACCATAATTTTTCCAAGTTTATTTTATGGGTGATGAAGAAGCACAAGTTGATAGGCGTTCTGAGTACGTACCAGGCGTGGAAAGAAACACAGTTCAACGATATAAAAAGTTCTACATGATCACAACGTTTTAGTGCATGAATTTAAAATGGCTAAAGACAGAGTGAATAGCGATAATTACAAGATTGTGACACACCTAGATCGTGTACCACGTGGTGAATACGAAAGACGATTCAATGCCCCGACCATAAACGAAATAGCTGCCGTAGTATGTACTATTGAGCAAACTTCGTCTCAGGACATTGTTATTCAGGCGCACGATGGCCGGCTCACTAGAGTTCCGGACACTCATAGATTTTATGATGTTCTCGAGTACCCGATAATTTTTTGGAAAGGACAAGAGCGGTACAGTTTTAATATTCCTCAGAAAAACCCAGTAACAAAACAACCCATACCGACCAAAAAAGTATCGTGCTAAGACTTTTATCTGTGTCATATGATGGTACGTCGCAATAATTTCAATTTATTGCTTCGATGTAGACTTCTCCTTCTTCAGTTTTTGGCGAACATGTATATCAAAGTCTTTGAGTATTAAACCAAAGGAGACGGCATCGCAAGGCATACCCCTCTGTAAAAGGTACGAGAGTTCGACTCATACCCGTTATATAAAACTAGTTGCTCCGCGTCGTGCATCATTCCGAAGTGATCGTGCCAGTAAAACGAACTCCTACAAAATGCCGAATTGCTGTGTATTTACATAAAAAAAAAAAACAATCATAAACGTCAATTATACAAAAGGACAATGTGACTTTTCATCTGTGAGTATTTTTAACATAATATTAAAGGTTACTGTTAGTTGTATTTATTTACCTTTGTACAATATATCATGTATAATTTTTAATTTAAGTTACAAAAATTATAATAAAGAACTTAACTAAAATGATAATTAAAATTATAATATTTACGATTAAACCTAATTATATACAATATAAAAGAAGAAACTATAATATAGAAAATCTAAAACTAAAAATTTAAATCGTCAAAAAGACCTGCTCCCCGTGGTATAGTGCCAAGAACGCTGGCTGCGTTTCCTCGCTGAATAGCTATACTTAGCCTTTGAGCGAGGAAAGAACTAGCCCTCTTATCACCAGCAGCGACGACCAGTCGTGGATACAGTTCCTTTAGAAATTTCATTGCACGTGGACCCCACGGACCGATAGTCTCTACAGCAAATGGCACAAATATGTAGTCATTTCTCATAGACTCACATTTGCGCCATTTACTAAATTAAAAAAAATAAAAAATTAAAAAAAATAAAGGCTGCCTCTGATGCCGCCCCCGGCTCTAAAAGAGGTACCCTTGAGATGAGAGGCCGCCAAAGTGTCGACGCAAGTAGCATCCCACACTTTACCTCTCTCTTACCTCTCTCCCAAGGGACCAAAGTCATACCGTCGGGTCTCTTGCCATCGTCTCTAAATATCCCGCAAGGCTCTAAAACCGAAGGGATATTTATAGAGACAAGAGCCCTTCGGATGATTTCGTTCAAAGAACCGTGACGGGAAAACCTACCTGCACTTTTCTTGCATGAAAGTCCGTGGAGCTCAAACTCATCGACGCTGCTACCACAGGGGCACTGGTGAGGTTGACAAATAGCCACTCCTAGCCGGATGCCTGAGCCTACGGCGATGCACAAGCTTTCCTCATCAAGCAATGTGCCGAGATTACTTGATGGTAGAGCATGTAACCAGTGGCTAGATTCCTTAGTCGAAACAGCTAGAAGGCGAGCCTGATCTTGTTGAATATGGAAATTTTGAAATAAATTTTTCTCAACACTCCGTACCAACGGAATATCCCACTGTTTTTGTTGGTTAACTTCCAGTGGGACATTTTCGCCGGGACACAGCGTTAGCCATGTTTGGTTTTCCTCCGAAGCAAAGCACAGGTCTACTTTATTATTTAAAATTGTGTTAGGTCATTGACACTATGCACGGAAGCAAGGAAAGCAGGCAATGTGACGCTAGAAATATTTTTTACACCAATTCCACCAAATTTGATAGGTAAAGTGGCTTGATTCCAGGCTATTGTATTTAATCTCAAATTTAAAATGTTTTCTAAAGCAATTTTAAGATTACTATCAATATCTTTTAAAATATCCGAACATTTCCAGACTGGACTTGAGCGTAACAAGTATGTAAACTTCGGGTAATTCAAATTTTGAAAAGAAATTTCTTTTAGTTCAGATGTAATTGATTTATTTATTGTTTTACTAAAATGAAAGTGGGAATACGCGAATGTAAAAAATTTTTGCCAACTTTTTTCACAATTCGTTAGACAATTTTGAATAGTTAATGATAATGCTTTAGCAAGTTGCATCCTCGCGCCTCTGGGAATTCTTTTAACCACTGGTACGTTACTATACAAATTGTATAATTGTTTCGAAAAAAAGTGAAGAATTTGTCATTAGGTATATTATCAGAAGAGTCATGAATTTCTACGGTAGGCTGTGAAGCCGAAATATTTTTACTATGGCATCGTTTAATGTGTATATTTAATCCCTTTTCACCTTGAATAAAAACTAATTTAGGATTTTTCGCGTTTATTACTTTCTGGGTTTATTTTTTAAATTTAAGAAATTTTCCTTTTTACCTTTAAACAGCCTACCGTCGGTATAATTTTGACACCGTAGGAAATCCGGCTGTGAATGTATTGGAGCGATAATATTCATAGAAAATGTAAAAAATTAAAAATGTAAAAATATATCTAAAGCACTCAAAAGTCTATAATTTAATACAAATCAAAATCTTAAAAATTAAAAGAAAAACCTAGTTCTCGAGCTTTGTTTATCGCCTTAAAGCAATCTAATATTAAGACTGCCTACGCACTGGCGACCATAGACGCGGCCAGGCCGCCGCGGCCATGGTCGCCGGTGCGTAGGCAAGCGCGACATGCGGACGGCTGAAAAATTGCAGTCGGCTTCCAAGGGTGTGTCAAGATGAACGTGCAGAAGATAATCACGCTAACTGTGCTTGTGTATTTACTACGAAAACGAAAACGGAAGATTTCACGTAAAAGACAGTTTTGGGTGCATATTACTTTGCGAGAGAAAGACTAAAGGATTATATTATACTTATTTTTTGGATTTAAAAATGTATGAGAAGAGATTCTTTAATTACATGAGAATGTCAACGAATACTTTTAACCTGTTACTGGATACAATAAAACCAAAAATTACTGGAACTGGTAACAACTATCGGAAATGCATTACAGCAGAAGAAAAATTTGTGATAACAATAAGGTAAGCTTTTTCTTTTTTTAAAACAGAATGTTTAAAAAATACGTGAATTATTTTAAAGGGTGTTTCGGAATGGAGTATTGTGTACAGGGAAAATAAAAATAATGTGATAGGGCCTTTTTTTTACTTAAACTGCTTAATGGATTTTTTTTGTAAATTTGAATTATACAAGACTCGATTCCGAATCACCACTATTGTGTTTTTCACAACAACCTGTATAATTCATTGACTATGGTTTTGCCACTTTAAATAATTTATGAACAATACTACTTTACGACTTTGAAAAGGAGAGGAAAAGGGCTTGCTTATAACTATGTTTTTAAATAATAAAAAACTGAAGTAGATAATCAAATATTTGTATTTTCGTAACTTAAAAAGTGGCAATTGTGAACAATTAATCATTCAAATTGGGAAATAGATCTATCATTTCTGAATTTTGGGAAATATCAGAATAATGAGCACGAGTATCGCTGTAATTTGAATCATCTGATATCCTGTTGGTAGTAGAATAACCTGAATAATTCGGTCAATGCGGGTCATATTCTTGGTCGTAAAGAGTATTGAAATTTCTTGAATAGTTTATGCGCGCTGTTGGTTCATAGTTCGGTTGATATTTTTCTATAATTTCCATGATTTCCATTTTCGCTTTGGTCTTCATTACAGCAGGGATATTTTGAAATCTGTCGAGGAGGGATAAAAGAAACAGTCTGTCACAATTTGAATTCTGTGTATCTGTCTTCTCTATTGTCGCTATGGTCTTATGCAGAACTGAAATTAAAGGGTCTGTATCGGATTCTTCGTTTGGTATTTTTTTCTTCCTTTTTGTTCTAAGCGACTTTGATGCAGACTGTTGAGTCTCAAGATCAGAAGATCTTGCACTTTCATTTTCTTGACTTGCCTCTTCAAGACTATTTTCTGTTGCGTTTGTGTCCAGCACTGATCTCAAAAACAGTAATTGGTTGAAATAGGTGTATTGACTTTTACGTTTTGCAGCAGAACCACTTTTGACATCTTTAAGACGGCGCAGCTCTCTTGTGAAACAGTCTCTAAGGTTTTTCCATCTTTTTTGGAGAGTCATGCCTGTAAATCAATAAATAAATGTAGTACATATTACAAAACTAATATTATGTTTATTAATGTGAATTTTATTTTCAGGTATTTGGCTACTGGATGTTCTTTATCTCATATAAGTCATGAATACCGTATAGAGCTTCCTACAGCATCGGAAATAGTATTTGATGTTTGTGAAGCAATATGGGAGATATTAAAACCAATTGTGACGCCACAATTGATCAGAGATGAGTGGATTCAAACGGCTGAAGGTTTTAAAAAATACGCCCAATTTCCTAATTGCATCGGAGCCATCGACGGCAAGCACATTAGAGTTATCAAACCACAACATTCGGGATCTCTTTATTACAATTACAAGAATTATTTTTCAATCGTGTTTTAATTTTGCAATTGCATTAAATATATTAACGAAAATATATTTCCTACTAACTAAATCAGTTTGTGATGAATAATAATCACTACATATATATCCATATGTAGTGGATTTTGTTAAATGATTTATATATTCAGCACAATTTCAACACGATACTAAATATTATATAATTTAATATAATCGATAATTACTATTTATCGAAATATTATACAACATAAAGGCCAAATAAGTCACATCAAAACTTGCTACTTAGCAGCAAAAGTGTGCAATTTATATAAAAATAAACTGGTATCAGTGCAACCGAAAGTATTGCTCTATAGTGATGAAAGCCAAAAGTTTAGCTATCGATAAGTTAATTAACCATGCGGGTTTGTCTGCCGAACCGGTTTGTAGTTTTTATTTAGCTTTTACAATAAAGTATTACAAAAAGTAGTAAATTTTTCTATTATTGGTTTGTTTTTACAGATTTCCAAAAGATCCTTTTACGCGGCAAACTTGGATTGTAGCTTGTAGAAATCATGAATCTTCGATACCTAAACGGACTAGCACCATTTGCTCCGAACATTTTGAAAAATCATATTTCATACCCCAAGGTTACAATAAAAGAAGGTTAGCTGACACTGCAGTACCAACCATGAACTTGTGGGAGGTAATGTTTGGCTGTAATTATATTTAGATTAAATATTTTTATTATTACCTTTGACACCAATATTATTCTACTTGAAAATATTTTATTAAGTTTACAAAAGCATTAATCTATCAAATATATATATATATATATATATATATATATATATATATATATATATATATCTTGAATCTTCTGACTTACGTAAGTAAATTATTTACTTTAGGGTGATCGTGGTGATTGCACAATATCGTCTACATCGAAAAAAGAAAGCTGTATGTTCTGGAAAAATTCCATTAGTTGTCTCGCAAAGTCACAATTCGAAAAAAATTCTTTATATAGCCCGAACTAGTCCTACTCACTGCGAGTACGAGTCCACACTTGGGCCAAGGAAAATTAAACTGAAAAAATGCCTTGACATAAAAAACAATAGCACAAACAGGCTTCACAAGTTTGCAAGAAATAATTTGCTCTTTAACTATTACTCATCAAAAGCCTATCGCTATGTACGTAAAACTTTTGGAACATGTTTGTCTGCACCTCGGACATTGACTAAGTGGTACACTACCACCGATCGCCGACCAGGGTTTACTCAAGAAGCGCTGACGGCATTAAAATTGAGAGCAGAGAGTAACCCTGATAAAAAAAAATATTGTACCTTGGTCATAGATCAAATGAAAATTAAGCAATTGACGGGATACCACGCTAGCAGCCAAAGGCATTATGTATATAACCAAAATATCTTTTAGAACTTGCATAGTACTCCGTCAATTGTTTTATTTTCATTTAATCTATCACTAATATACAATACAATTTCTTGTCAAGGTTACTCTCCAGTCTAAGTTTTAAAACAGTTAACGCTTTTTTTGTGTAGCCAAGTCGGCCATCAATTGTACATTAGTTTAGCAAAAAATATTTCTGGGGAATACTTAGTCCTAGGTAGATGTCACATTTTATTTTTAAGCAGCTGTCTGTTTAAAGTTCACTTTGTTCAATTGTTATATAGTGTAAAACTAATTTATTAAATATTTTCCAGATAGTTCATTTAATAAATCTTCAAAATCAACAACTTTTTTAAATAGCGGTTTTGTGATTAAAGCCTTATAATAAAAACAAAATCTTGGTTAATACCATCTAAGACGATAAACTGATAGAAGTTTTGTTTTAATAATTCTGATTTTTAAAATACTCGTAAGTTAACCAAACCTTCTATTTAGATTTGTTAAATATTTTAAATTTTATCCTGCATAATGTTTTTTTTAATTTATTATCCATAATATTGTTACATTATCCAGTACAATACTTGCATATAAACCTCTAGGGGTTTATCTACGCTAGCGAGTCGTCTTATATAAACGACGTATTAATATTAAATCACATTATTCCAACAGAAGTACCTACTACAATAAGTATGGTTGATTTAACAAATATGATTTAAGTTTCCTTTTAAACAGTTTGGATTTACCGTAAGTTTCTTGTAATTCTATTAGCAATTCATTAATAAAAGTAGGTACAAGATGGGCGGAATTTCTTGCTTCATAGAAATTTTTAGTTTTCGGAACTACATACATGTTGGATTTATAAGCTATATTTCGTAGATTTACAAGTCGTTTTTTAAGAAGTAGATATTCTGAATTATTAACTTCCGTCAGTATTAACTTTATCGAAAACATTTATGACTTTGCAATATTTAAAAAGGCCCTGGTCATTATCTATATACTTATTTTTAATATGATTAGGCACTATCCATAGAAGCATCTTGCGTTGTAATGTGTAAATTTCCTGTATATACGTTACATAAGTTCTACCATAACTGCTAAGTCCATAACTAATGACGGAATCTGCTAGAGCTATATAAAGTAATCTAAGTATTTTATATGGTAGCTTTAATTTTAAAACATAAAGTTTACTCAACACAGAGCGAAGTTTTGCACACACGTGATCTTTATGCGCTCTCCAGCAGAATCATTCATCAATAATCAGACCAACATACATGTGATTTTTGATATTTTCAATGGGTAGACAATTACGGTGTTGAAGTATTCCATGGAGACATTCATGGCTGTGGGAAATGATAATCGGTGCGGTGGCAACTTTGTTGTGAGATGAGTGTATGTGAACAAGTTTTGTTTTTTGAGCGTTAACCACTAGACCGATATCATGTGCCCACTTACATAGCATGTCGTAACTTTCCTGCATTTCAGTTTGTGATAATTCCATAATCCATACTACGATCGGCAATAACGATACAAGTGTCGTCGGCAAATTGATATGTGGAGCCCTTAGTTATTGCGTTTACCATATCGTTAACAAATAGCAAGTACTCAGTCGGACCCAGTATCGAACCTTGTGCTGTGCTGCATTCAGTCGCAAACATATCACCTGTCTAGTTATATATTTTGACAGTGGTATAACGATTTTGATGATAACTCTTAAGAAGTTCTAAGAAAGGTCCTTGAATACCGCAGCGTGATAGCTTATTATTATAATGTGTTAAAATTTAATAAATCGAACGCTTTACTAAAACCAATAAATAATACTAAAGTATGCATTCTATTAATTTCTAACTAATTTAAAATCAATAAATTGCCGTAATAGTTGCGCTGTGCTTTTATTTTTTTGAAAACCGAACTGTTTTGAATTTATTACATTGGATTTAATAAGGTAATTGTTTAATTCGTTGCTCAAATAACGTTCAATTATTTTATTTAGGCAGGAGAGAATAGTTATAGGACGATAATTGTTAAAGTCATTATGTTTGCCTTTTTTGTAGATTGGTCGGATTACACCTATTTTTAATAAGTCCGGATAAATAGACGTTTTTAAACATTGATTAATTAAGTATGTAATAAGAGGCACCATTGATTTCGAAATGTATTTTATATCACAAACGCGAATACCATCAAACCCGGGGCTTTTCTTATAATTCATTGTTCATTCATTGTTGTATCATGCATTGTAAAATAAACCTGTAGCAAAATAATAAACTTTCTTTCAATACTTTCTAGGTTTTTTTTCCGGAGATCATTTATAAATACTTTAAAAAAGGAATTTCAAATATCACCTTGGTGTTATTTATCTATGTATTACTTATAATCAAATAAAAACTAATGCCAGGTATGGTGATTTGCTTATCGATAAAAAATATCGACATAGTGCACACCTTACGTTGCTTACGCATTCAGACAGCGCCATCAGTGTATCGATACGTGTATAATTTGATGATATGCGTAAACGCGATGAACACAAACACAAATACTGTAGTGTGCGTTTATAGTGACACGATTTAATTTTGCATTTTTAGTTATGTATACAGTTATGTTTTTCTTGGGCCCCCCTGATGTTGACAGAGCAGAAAACTATATACATTTTAAAGACGTGATCAAGAATGATGCGGATTTAGATTCAAATAAATTGGGTCAAATGGTAATACTCCCGTCGTCATTTGTAAATAGCCCGAGATATCTTCATGAGTACACGCAGGATGCGTTCAGATACGTGCGTAACTAAAGGAGACCTGATCTGTTTATTAAAATGACATGTAATCTCGCTTGGCCAGAAATCACTAAAGAGCTCATTCCAGGTCAAAACTCAACGGACAGACATGACTTAACAGCCAGATTATTTAAAATAAAAGTTCAAAAATTGGTTGCTCTACTTACAAAAGGTAAAATATTTAGAGACATGAAGTGCTTAATGTACTCGAGCGAGAGGTAAAAAAGAGGTCTGCGTCACGTGCACCTACCACTGTGGTTGATGGGAAAATTACGCCCTAACCAAATTGACGAAGTCATAAGTGCGGAGATACCAAACCCAGAAAGTGATCGAAAACTCTACGATACTGTAACCAAAAATATGATTCACGGTCCCTGTGGTGCACTAAATCCGTCATCACCATGCATGAAGGAAGGAAAATGCACCAAAAAGTATCCACGGGTGCTTTTAAAAGATACTTAAACTAACGACAAAGGCTATCTCCTCTGTACAAGCGTAGAGCGCCAGGAAATTGCGGCCGTACGGTAACTCTAAAAACCCGAGGTGGAACACAGGAGGTATTGGTTCACAATAGCTGGATTGTTCCATATTCTCCTCTTCTCTTTAAAATTTTAATTCTCATATAAATGTAGAGTTCTGCAATACAGTACAGGTGATAAAATATATTTGTAAATATATAAACAAAGGCAGCGACCAGGCTATTTTTAACATTCGACAGCAAGGGAATGTTAATATCGACCCGAGAGACGAGGTGCAAACGTTTCGAGCCGGTCGATATGTTAGCAGTAACGAAGCAGCGTGGCAGATCTTGGGTCTGCCTCTGCATGAGAGACACCCAACAGTCATTCACCTTGCGGTTCATCTGCCCAATGGTCAGCAGATTTACTCGGAGTATATCTTGCATAGATTTGAAAAGAATGGATCAAGTCAACAATGATCTATGTTTAAATGAAGCACAGAGACATATAGAGGACAAAATAATAAAGATTTCCGGTAAGAAATTGTCCGACTTCGGTATGCTTACACCGCAGCGTCGAGGAGAGTTGTCGACCGATTTGATCAAAGAGCTAAGCTACGATACCGCTTTATTAGACGCTTAGGTCAGCAAAACTGGACCACGCCTGCTACCCGAGCAAAAAGACATTTATAACAAAATATTACATCGAGTTGAACTTGGCGAAGGCGGTCTTTTTTTTCTTGACGCATCGGGCGGCACAGGAAAAACATTTTTGCTTAATTTGCTTCTAGCAAAAATTCGTAAGGATCGTAATGTTGCATTAGCGGTAGCTTCCTCTGGGATCGCTGCAACATTGCTGAATGGTGGACGGACGGCACATTCGGTTTTTAAATTGCCTCTTAATCTGGTAAGCCAAGAAACCCCAACGTGCAACAACAGTAAGAGCAGTGCCCGCGGCGCCCTGTTGCAACAATGTAAGCTGATCGTGTGGGACGAGTGCACTATGTCACACAAACGCGCCATCACATTGAGGCGCTTGATCGCTGTCTACATGACATTCAAAGCAATCGAAAGTTGATGGATGGTGTGGTAGTGTTATTGGCAGGGGATTTTAGACAGACTTTACCTGTTATCGAGAGAGGTACTGCAGCAGATGAAATTAACGCATGTCTTACAGCCTCGTATCTGTGGTCTAAAGTTGAAAAGCTTTATCTTACCACTAACGTGCGAGACCAGTTACTCAGCGATGTCGAATCAGGAGAATAAGCTCAAAAACTGCTAGAAATTGGTGAAGGCCACCTTGACACCAACCAAGAAGGTATGGTTCTTTTCACACAGCAATTTTGTCATGCTGTGAAATCAAAAGCCGACTTTTTGAACAAGTTTTTCCGAATCTGCAACAATATATTCTTGACGAAAATTGGTTGTTTGAAAGAATCATACTGGCACCGAAAAATGAGACTGTTGCGAAAATTAATAAAATAATATTTACCGAAATAAACAGCGAAACATACTGACATCTAGATATACAAGTACCCTGGATTGGATATACACCGTGACGTGATGAGGCGATTTAATTTACGCCATTTTGGCGTTGACAGCAGAAGTGCACGTCCACGGAACTAAAGACCGATTTACACTTCGACAAGTACAGTAGCGAGTTAACTTTCGAAACTGGCGAGTTAAGTTTGAACCTAGTTTGAACGGCAATAAGCGAGTTAAGTAGCAAGTTAACGATTAAGTTGAACGGGATAGCCGGCCGAGCTATTTTTCGGCGAGTTAAGTGCGAACTGCTGCCCTCCCGCGCGTCTCCCGCCACCCGCAACTAAACTCGCCGTTCGTGTAAACGACAGAACAAACGCAACGTTTGCGCGCCAAAACGTACAATTGTACTTTTATAATTAAAATTGCCACAAAGTTTTTACCATACTGTTTATTGAATACGTTTTATATTGGGTTTTGATAATAAAATGGACGAAAGAAGTCACGTATAAATTTGTATAGGAGTATTTAAAACACTAATGTTTATATAATAGTAGAAGTTCAAATTGTAAAATTAAACCTGATCGAGATTCCGCACTCATGAAAATTCTTAAAAACTTCTTTAACAACAACCATTAATACGACTGGATAATTTAATTTTGACTAACCATCTTAAACGAAAAACAGAAAAATTCTGTAGTCTTGAAACGTCATACTCCTACGAACTCTATGAACTAATGTCCTTAACTAAACTCGCCACGAAGACATTGTTTGAACCACTGACTTAGAATATTATATCTCTATGGTTTGAACGCTACTGCCCACTTAACCGTTTACTGTCAACTGCCCTGTAACTAAACTCGCTACTGTACTTGTCGAAGTGTAAATCGGTCTTAATAATAAGGACTAGACCGTAAACAGAGAAACCTATAGACTAATGATTAGCATGGCCTCGAGTGAGAAAGGACGATAACGTAGTTTTAGGTTATACGATAAACTTTATGACTTTTAAACATATTTAGATAAAAAAATTATTAATCTAAGAACTGAACTGAACAAGATTCACCAATCTTAAGCTCACAAAACACCTTTTTCTCACTTAAACCAACTTGTAAACTCCTTAGATCGCTACGAACTGTCAAAGTTGTTTAGCAAAACTAAAAACAAAAAAACCAGCACGGAGAAAGGGACAACCAATCACACCGCTCTGTCTCATTTCTATGCAAGACGTATGCATAAATCTATCTTTATCGTGTGCGAATGCGAAAGAAGGCGTCAATTTGTCTATATGTTTCTCTGTCTACGGTTCCAAGTCTCTAGTACACAGACTACTAAGATGCTCTAGTATATACACAGTAATCTATGGTCTAATCTAAGTAAAGTAAATTTTCATCTCCCTAAACCCTTAATTTTCTAACACGATTTGTGTTTAATATTAATGTCATTTGTAATTATTTTATTATAACCTTTGAATTACCGTCGAAGTGTGAATATGAATCTTGACTTTGTCTTTGTAATACAGAACCTCCAATAGGCATTAAGCATTGCAAGGCTCCCCCGTGTTTTAATAGAAGGATCTAAACTGAAACAAAATGGCTAAGAAAAAGAGTACTAAAAACAAATCGAAATCATCAAAGCCTATAACTAACGCAAGCTCGACTGTTGCGAAAGCAATTAATACAGATATGATTGCAGCTGCATTAAGTACAGTAAACCAACCTATTTTTATGAAAGTTTGCCGACTATGCGAGGCTAAAGATGGCCCTTTTCTTAATATTTTCGACTCTGAAAAGATAACTGCTAAGAAAATTGAAGAGTTAATGCCGTTCTGGGTAAGGGTTTTTGTATTTTTAGAGTATTCAAATTATTAAATACAGCATCTGTGATGTTTTTTTTGGTAAATTAAAAGAAAAGTAGTACAATAACAGATTATAATATTCATGGTTTGCTTTTGTTGAATACATAATATATAATATTTCTCATTATTTGCTAATCAATCACTATAGTGTATAAAAGTTTGCCAATAAAAGGCACACGGTTTTTTTTACCAAATATGTAATGCTACATATGAATAAGGTGAAAATTCATCACTACAATCCATCACAAGTCCACTGATGAATACAGGTCCAACATAGAACACATGATAATAGAAAATTCAATTCTACTATTATATATGTATAATACTAAAGCAATGGAGAAGAGGTGATTTGGAAAAGTAGGTTTTTACAATCACTTTTAACACTAGAAATAAAAATACCTATTTAAATAATTAATTTGATGCTACCTAAAATTGTGTATTGCAATTTTATTCGTATATATTTGGAAATAGTGTAAGTTTTTCTCTACTTTTGTTTTTGTATTAAATAGGTGCACATTATCCCAAAATGATCTAGCAATGTTTCAATCAATTTCTCTATCAATTTTGAATTTTGTATAACTTTTTTATTCACATTCCATGCTCATATGTGGTATCTATATTGGTGAATATTTTTATGATTATATCTATTAAGACCGATTTACACTTTGACAAGTACAGTAGCGAGTTTAGTTACAGGACAGTTGACATTAAATGGTTAAGTGGGCAGTAGCGTTCAAACAATGTCTTCGTGGCGAGTTTAGTTAAGTACATTAGTTCATAGAGTTCGTGGGAGTATGGCGTTTCAAGACTACAGAATTTTTCTGGTTTTCGTTTAAGATGGTTCTAGGATTATGTGAAGAATTAAATGATCCAGTCAGAGAAGTATTAATGGTTGTTGTTAAAGAAGTATTTAAAAATTTTCATGAGTGCAGCAACTCAAGCAGGTTTAATTTTACAATTTGAACTTCTAGTATTATATAAACATTCGTGTTCTAAATACTCCTGTACAAAATTATATGTGATATCTTCTGTCCATAATACTATTAAAACCCGATATAAAACTTATAAATATTCAATAAACAGTATAGTACAAACTTTGTGGCAAGTTTAATTATAAAAGTACAATTGTACGTTTTGACGCGCAAACGTTGCGTCTTGTCAACTTATGCACTGAACTACACTCGCTCGTTTATACGAACGGCGAGTTTAGTTGCGGGTGGCGGGAGACGCGCGGGACGGCAGCACTTCGCACTTAACTCGCCGAAAAATAGCTCGGCCGGCTATCCCGTTCAACTTAATCATTAACTTGCTACTTAACTCGCTTATTGCCATTCAAACGAGGTTTAAACTTAACTCGCCAGGTTCGCAAGTTAACTCGCTACTGTACTTGTCGAAGTGTAAATCGGTCTTTAGCTTAAGTAAATGTTGATATGGATTGTAAAATACTGCAATAATGGTATTAATCATTATTACAACAGCGCATTACAAGTCCACTGCTGAGTACAGGCTTCCAAATGGGGTTGTATATTCTTTCTCTTGCACACAGTTCACCTGATGGTAAGTGGTTGCTGTGGCCCATAGACATTTACATCTATCCTAGATTACAAATAAAAATGCAGATGTGTTGTCACCCGTGAGGACTAAAATTGAATGCCTCGCTTCCAGTAAAAAGGGTCTCCGGTTCTCTACACTCACCATATGAAACACAGCAGCATTAAGCTACTATTTTATGCTGGTATTCTGTGAGAGCGTGGCCCTACCCCGGTCGAGCTGATCCATTCATGCTACAACTATACTACTAATATAACTGCAGCATGGATCTACCATGTCAAAAAAAATGTATGGGCTTGCCACTACAGAAGTCATTTTTTTGAAGAGAATTGTTTCTTCATTAGTATCCACAGCTCACAGTGAAATTATCTGGTTCTTCTACATACAGATATCCTCATAATAGAATTTAATTTGATAAGAAACTCTGAATATAGCTCTCTATAAAATAAAAGCTCTAGAATAAAATTAAAAAATAGTATTTATCCTTGTAAATAGTTTCATAAAATAATCCTGTAAGACTTATGGCCAAATACTCAAATGCTACTTGATTTTAACCCCTCAGTCCCAATAAAAAGCCCGTGCAGTTGCATGCGCCCGGTAAATCCCAAGCAGTCGCGTGCGACCGCACCCACCCGCAGCACTTAAAACCATTAAATCTTATATTTAGAGACCACTTTTCTGTGAATAAGTTTGGGATTATAAAATTTATACAAAATTCTCTATATAAAAGTCAGGTTTTACTTCATTACAAAAAGACTATTGTATTTTGATAACAAAAGCAAAACATACCAAGCAGATGTCGGCAGCGTAAAAATCACAATTATTTCAATATATATTACTCGAAATTATTTACGTAAAAAGATAAATTATATTCACACAAAAACTTTCATTACAATTTTATAATAAAACACTAATAAAACACTAGAAAAATCCAAAAATCAACACAATAACATTCACGTGAAAATGGCGTATGAAATGAATGTAGATTATAAATAATTATCCATAGGATAATGCCAAACTTCTTCATAGAAAAGTGGTCTCTAAATACAAGTTTTAATGATTTTAAGTGCTGTGGGTGTGTGCGGTTGAACCCGATCACTTGGATTTTGACGAAATAGTGCCACGGTCGGTTTCGACCGCGTCTGGACTGAGAGGTTAAGTCTCGTGCTGTTTCTATCACTTTGAGTCAGTGATTGTGACTTAACGACATATTAAAATTAAGTAGTGTTTGAGTATTTGGCCACTAGCGGTAATAATTTGTAGCCATTACAGAAATTCTAGTTTTCATTGCATCTTATTGCAAAGGAGCTTTTGTTCCTTATCCTTGATATCCATTCAATTACTTGTTCTCTAAGTTTTTTTAAAGTTTTCCTAATGCTTTCTGTTTTTCCGATGTGGTTACCTTATACTTGTAATCTTCTAATATTTTTTATTGTCTTTTCTAATGCTTTCACAAATTTCCTTTCGGTGATTTCGGATTTCTATCAAAGGCATAAAAATCACAAATTTCTTTGTTATTTTTATGCCTTTGTCCATCTTATATTAGTCACCTTCTACACTCTAAATGTATAAAAAAAATCACTAATAAATGTTCCTGTATTTTTTTTATTAATTTAATATTTGATTTACAATTTTTGTGAGGTGGAGCGGTAGAATTTGCATCAGTTAGCTCGTTACTATTGATGCATGTCTGGTAGGTGATTGTTTGTATTAGTTTCTTGACTTTTATTGCTTTTTACAGAACATGAAATTTTGTAGCATTATGTTCCAGCAGGAACTCTATCAGTGTTTGACATTTATCACTTTTTTCCCTACTTCCAAATTTCCCTTTTCAATTGCTTGAAATAATTTTGTTTATTGGAATATAACATAAAATATACTCAGGGAATGCTATGGTCCTATGCTATGAATGCTATGGTAGATATTAATAAATTAATGTTACTTTTGTCCGAAAAAGCTTATCATTTACCCTCAACTTGCACCTGAAGAAGTTTTACTTCAAAGATTTGGTTTGTAACATGTGTTTTAAAGATTATTCTATAGATGTCAAGTTTTCTACAAATAATTTAATTCAGTTCATGTATTGTGTGAATTAGCCTAGCTGGGAAAAATGGGTGACTTAGCCCTCAAATGCTTTTTGTATGGAGACGATCAAGTCGTCATATTTGGGTCATCGGAAAATATCATTTTGATTTTGATGTTGGAAGAAACATGAATGCTTTATAAATGAGGTAATTAAAAAGTATGTTACAGTTGACTATGAATAATAGGATGAGAAATTAAGTGATAACACAAAAGTTTGGTTGTCAGAAGTTGTGACCAAGATTTAGAAAGATAACACACATTTTTCTTATTATCGGTCTGAGTTTGACCTCAATCCCTGGTGGTAAGTAGTGATGAAGGTCTAGACGGAGAATCACTTTACCTTATCATAACAAAAGCCTATTCAATCTTGCCTTAAAGACACCTATATTATATTCGAATGGAATGACCGACACCGGCAGCTTCCACTCCTTTAATTCATAGTTCATTATTATTTATTTGCATTGCTTGCAAACATTATGAAAGATGAAGCAAACCGTTTGTGCTGAATGCGTGACAAGATGATGGAGAAATTAGAGCATGTGATTTTTGCACACTTTTAAACAACCAAATGTATTCATTTGGTTCCAAGCAAATGTATTCATTTGGTTCCAACCAAATGTATTAATTGCAAAGTAAGAGTGACAAAGCAAGTTTATGTTGCAGAAGTGAGTGGAAGAGTCGGCAAGGGTTGCCTAAGACGGAAGTTTTTCATTAAAATTAGCATATATTAAAGATGGGCCAAACTAAGAGTACCTTTAACCGACAAGCATGTATATGTAATAGTATGTATGGATGTGTAAAAATCAAGAGAAGGTGTGCAAGGTTATTTCTATCGCCAAATAGAAGTGCTTGGATTGCTGTGTTTTAGTCTGATCAGTATAAAAACAGTATAATTATAGACTGTGAGGCATTCTATCTTAATCGTCAAGGGTGACAACACATCACTAAACTTTTCTGTTTGTAATTGATTGCAGGTATTCATGGTCCACTATAGTCACTTACTAACGGTGTAGTGTAATTTCAAAGTGTATTTTAAAATTTGCAACAATTTAATTTATTTTTTCTATTATTCTAGATTGCAGAGAATGATGACCTGCCCCATAAAATCTGTTTTCGGTGTTCGGCGAAAGTGGAGGAGCTATATGAATTCGTAAATAAATGTGTTAAAACACAAGAAAGTTTGCGAAAGGCTTTAGGAAAGAAGGAACCCCTTCCTGTGAAAACGAAGACAAGGGCTATTTGGGAGGAGAAGTTAAATAAGTCGAATATGTCTAATGATGATATTTGCGACGCTCTAATAAAGAAAGCCATGGAGGGCATTGTTGAAATTCCTAAACCTTTGCTTACAAAAGAAAGTGATAAAACTCGTTCATCTACGAGAGGTTCCAAAAATACCGATATCAAAACGGAAGTTGGGAAGCAATGTAAGTCGGACTGTTCTGAAAACGAAGATGATGTAACTTTAGATGAAATAAAAATGATTAAAAATGATGGAAATGGTAAAACGAAGTCGCGTTTGAGTCATAGTGAAACAACTCAAAACGAACTTCAACATAATGTAGTTCAGGCACCACATACTAGAAGGAATGCAAGTAAACAAAAACTAATAGCAGAAAAAACTGTACAAAAAGATACAAATACTGATGATAACAAATCAGATAATAATGCAAATAAAAAAGATGATTCAAAATCTAAATCTAGTGAAAATGCTAAACCATTTGATATTATGGATCATGTTAGCATGATCAAAGTAAATGGCGTTGGAGTACTATTTCAATGTAAGTTATGTAATAGAAACTTTTTGAAAAAAGAAGTTGTTATTTCACATGGTTGCGCAAAAACCGGCGTACCCAAAGTTGATATATGTAAAATGTATATTCCACCTGCGCCACCAAAGGTCACAACAATTAAATACATAAATTCAAGAATAGGTGGAGATATTATAAATACAATTGCCGACGAAAACAAATCTTTACAGGAAAATGAAACTATTAAAACTACTGCCATTACACCGAGTGTTAAAAGAAAAATTGGTCCAGCTAGTAAAATTGGACGACGCGTTGATGATTCCAATACTGCTAGTGAAACATTACAGCCTTCTAAAGAATGGCTTGAAATAGCCGTACCGTCTGACAAAGCGCAGCAATCGTCAAATATACAAATGCCATCTGTCAATTTTCCCACGGTTCCATCTCTTAACAGTCGGTATAAACTTATTCGTGGACCAAATAATACATTTACATTAGTTGAAGATACTAGTTCTGAAATGGAGTCAGCTCCGTCAGAGAAACGTAGAAAAAGCGAATCCCCTGAAATAATTGACCTTGATGCATCGCCTGTCAATGCGACGAAAAATACCAATCAAAATTCCAAAAAAACTAACACAGGGAAATCAGCTAGTCGAATTGCTCACAACGCGAGTAAACAAACACCACAGACGGAATCATCTTCTCGGAATCAACCATATCCAGTAGGCTTGTTTCAAACAGTACCTCACCATTCTGCTTCTTTCAACCAAACATCTGACGCTGACCAAGTGCCATTTACAACTCCTGCTATGAAGAAGCAATCTTATACAATTGTCCAAACTGGAAATCCAAGTAAGTTATTAATATCGACGAAACCCCAACAAGCTGTCGATGAAGTGCCGAAGAAAAAGCAAAGAAAACAGAAACACACACCTGATGACAGTTCCAAAGAACCGTTTTCAGTTGTTTTAGAGGACACGGCACCTCCAAAAGACCCAGGTTTTTTTACCTTCATAAATGTTGATCCGTTACTTCAGCCGTCATATGTGCTACCGACGGATAATATTATTCAAGAATCACAAATAACCACGTCGACGCCTGTCGCAAATAAAGAACCGGAAAGTAGCAAAGATAAAGACAAAGATAAATATACATGTAATTTGTGCGGCTCAAGATTTAACAGAGAAAAGAAATTAAATGCACACATTTATTCCCATTATAATGTAGAGGAGGATCATTCACAAGAGGAGAAGCCTTCAAGAAAACGAACTCGAAAGTAAAAGGAACTTGTGTAGGGAAATGCCCAGAAAAGAGCATTTATAGTGCAGTTAAAGTCAACCTTAAGTATAAGGCTATAAGGCTTAAGGATGATTTTAACCTAACAATGGTTTGATGTTTATCATTTTATTTTTATATTTTTTATTATCTACAAACCATGCAGAAATGTTAAGTGGCTAATACAAACTCTAAAAACAGTATTGAGGAAGTTTTTTGATAATTCATAATAAAACTGATGAACCTTGAGCCCGCCAGATGTCACATATATTTTAATGTTTATAGTTTAATGATACTGAATATAAGTAGTGTAGTTTGTTTTTTTTACAATTATTTAGTTGGTAAGAATTTAAGCAATTAATAATAAATATAATATACCAAAATCTATTATTCTCGCTATATTCGATGTATATTTTTTTTTGGTGTAATGTCAGATTTTTTAAATGATTATATCGAAAGTTGGCCACTTAATTTCGCATAAATTAAATTATAGACGCATTTAATTTTAAAACGAACATCCATCATTCATAGGTAATCATGTTGTCATAGGCGTCTCAAAAAGAAATCTAGAAAACTGGCTTTTCACAGTTCACTGTCTTAAATATTAATTACTGCGGCGTGATTGCGTAACTCTGGTGGGAATCATTCTGTAACTGAATTATGTTTTTTCATTGTTATTTTATTTAGTGACCTTAAATCAAATATTAATGTTAAAAATACATCGACCTTAAATCGAAGTTAAAGTGAAGCCCGACATTCCCACCAGAGTTACACAATTGCGCTTCAGATCTGAAACCCTTAAAAAGCAACGTCTTGGCTCCAGCCACAAAATATATTCGTAAAGACAAATGCTTACGTGTGCTATTAATAAAATTTATTGTAGTTAAAAAGATACTGTCATCCTATTTTTTTTATAGACAACAAACGAGTCCACCTGATGGTAAGCGGATGCTGTGGCCCATAGACTACATTTATCCTCGATTAAGAATCAAAACGCAGATGCATTGTCACCCCTGAGGACTAAGATGGAATGCCTCGTTTCCAGTAAAAAAGGTTCTCCGGGACCATACGAAACAGCAATATTAAGGTGCTATTTTACGCTGGTATTCTGTGAGAGCGTGGTCCTTCCCCGGTCGAACCGACCCATTCGTGCTACATCCATAATATAGCTGCAGCGTGGCTCTACCACCTATTTTGGGTATCGTAAGAGGTGACTAGATTACTTAGAAAATCCTAATGGCCTCCGTTTTAATATGTATGTAAGTATAAGGTTTTATTTAAGGACAATGTAAAAATCCAGACAAGGTGAGCTATGTCAAAGGTGTGTAACTTTGGTTCTAAGATCTACAATTTGCTTCTCAAACTCGGGGATTACAGCAAACGTATATAAATAATATTACAACACTGACACTAACTTATAAGAAAACCTTTTATGTTGCTGTTAAATAAAATTAAGGAATAATATGGTAATGAATAAAAAATATTTTACAAATTATGAATAAAATTATTTGAATGTTGCATTACCTTTAATTTTCTTTATTAGACGCTTGTATACAGAATGGGTCCCACATATATGCAATAAATGAAACCATATACTTGTTATCGCCTTTGCTGACGATATACAAAAAATGAACGTAATCGGTCCAGTAATTAGGTCAAAAAGTAGAGTTTTAAACAAATTTGAACACTCTGTAGAATTGGGTCACTAAGTCAATGATTCAACGAACTTGAATCCTTGAACATTAAAAAGCGACGTTGCCACGCAGTGCAAACTATTGGTATTGCGACATATCGACAGCGGTGTCTTTTGTCGGCGTGCCACCCGCGTGCAACGTTGTCACTCTTCCAAGGGGTCAAGGTACGTTGTCTAAACAGAGTGTTCACTTTTACTGAATTTATTTTAATATTTATTTTGTTTGAAAATTTCACTTTTTTTATTTTACGGGTTATATTAATATTTAATTTTTCTACACTTCTACGGACTAGTATTACTTGTGGTTTCATTTATTGCATATATGTGGGACCCATTGTATATATAGAGTTCAGTACTTAGTATAGATAAACAGAGTGTTTTTGGTCCGATACGTTGCGTCGGCGGCCGTATTGCGTTATGATTTTTGGTGTTTAAATTTTCTTGAAAACTAGGACTGCATTAGGCTAAACATTAACATTTCTCAATCTATGGGAAAGATCTAAAATGAATGATCTAATGAAAGAATAGATCTAAAATTAAAAGCTGTATAATAAGTAATAACATATGTAAAATATTTTTATTGTATAATTATATTTGAGTAGATTATCGTCATATTTGTAATTGTAAGTAAGTTTGCACAACATTTTTAATACAAAAACATTTCTTGGCATTTTATGAAATGGTTTGAAGAAATGTTGATAACAAATCTTACTAAACCCAGTGTACTTATGATCGACCACGCAAGTTATCGTGTGAAACAACTGAACAAACCCCCTACTGTGTTTGATTCTAAAGCTAATCTCCGAATATGGCTTCAAGAAAGTAATATCCATTTTGAAGAATATCATACCATATCTGAACTAATGTGTTTGGTGAAAGGTAATAAGCTTGCAGCTGTTTACGAAGCATAAGAACTTCTGGAAAAATAGTCAACAAAATTTTGTTGCTGCCACTGTTGAGACCTCAATGCAATTGAGCTTGTATGGACTCAGGCAAAGAGAAAAGTAGCAAGCGAAATAAAGAAATGCCAGGGTCCGAAATACAAAATTTTATAGATTGTTTTCTATCTATAACTGCTGATGACTGGAAGAAGTAATCAGTGGATCATGTACTTCATGTTGAACAGCAGTACAAAATAAGAGACCGTCTTGTTGAAAACGAACATGAACCATTCATAATACATGTTGGGGGAAGTAGCTGTAGCAGCGAAGAAAGCAATGAAGCTGATTCAATATTATCAGGTGTAGAGTTCTTGGATTCTGATTTCGACTATGACCCCTAACCCCTATGTGTTGATTTTATTGTGTTACCACATCAGTGGTCTCTATTCCAATAAATAAGCTTTAAGTAATAAGTTTTTCTTTAATTCAACCTTTTCGATATAATGCCGTGCCAGGAAAGTCGAGCTGTCAACGTCAATGCACGCAAGTTGAAAAATGCCATATTGTTGCGCGCCATAGTTGATGCCTAGTATATGGCACTAGTGCAATCTAGTATCGAGTAGCAGAACTAAGCTTTCTAGAAAATTTCATCCCCAGAACTATCTACACCTAGTCGGTCGGGACCGGTATGTGCTCGAACATTCTAGATGTTTCAGTGGAAAAGACCTATATAAAGCCGGTTAAGACCACGACCGGGGAGTACTGAATTGGCGATACTAGTGAAGACTATGAAGCGATTTACCTGAACTAAAGTCTTAAGTGTGATTAATTATTAGTGTGTTTTCAGTTTTAATTGGTGTTTAGTAATTAAAGTGTCAATTTTGGTGATTCAATAGGTCATTGAGTTATACAACACTAGAGGAGCAAACCACATTACCGCGTGTCGAAAAAAGTGTAACCACTATCCAAACGCGACGACGTAAATTTGAAACTAACAACAATTTTAAATAAACATATATCTATCTCATTTACACAAATAGCGAAAACAATATGGTCGCTAAGATTAGATAAAGATAGACACACAAACATGCAACGGCGGGTTGGTGTGTTTTACTATATGAAATTTTACCTAAAATACACAATAAAAATGAGTTTTTTAAGCTGCAGTTAATTGTTTTTATATTAAAAAAGTATATTTTGTTTTAAAATTTTTATTGCGTTTCCTTAAGAAAAAAAGGATACAAAGCTTATCAGATGAATAGAAGTAAACATAATGATGAAATAAAACATATTTTTATAAGTATTTTTATATCACTAATAAATCAAACAATATAAAATAAGTAATAAAATAAAATTAATATAGAATTTATATGAAATTATAATTAATATAAAATTATTAATATTAAATACGTAATAAAATGTATTTAATAGATAATTTATGAATAAACTAAAATAAGAATAATTAATTACCTTGTATGAAAATTAAAACGTAGTTTTTATTATAATTTCCAAAATATTTAAAATCAGAGGTAACAAATTAACTTACTCCATTAATTATATGGTCTGCCATTAATGTAGGATAATCACAAATGCGGAAAAGTTGCAACATTGAACCTAAATGGCAATATTCGATAATTTTATTTAATTATTTGACGTTTTTTACGTTTATATGAAAACAAGGACTAAAAATTATGTGTTGAAAGTGATTCCGCTTGATTTATTACATTTTTGTGTCATTGAATAGCATTCTTTCACTACGCATTTACCCATTTTTCGTCACGGCACAACTCTGTCGGCGTCACATTGAACACTGAACTGACGTTAGCTAGGCATATGGCTGTGGCCATATGTGCAGTGGGAACGCTTTGACACGGTTATTACTGATCTAATGTAATTTAAAAACGAAGGCAGTTTTTATTGTCACGAACCCACGAACCACGAACGAATGGTTCATAAAAGATAGCTTGATCTGTATTACAGACAGTACCTGTCAATGTCATTCTTTATGGGCATGCACTAATTAGGTCGGCATGCCCATATAGTATGACATTGACAGGTACTGTCTTCTTCTTTCTTTTTCTTTCTTTTGTGGCGGTTTGATACGACTGTCAGTAATACTAAGTAATTCAGGACTTCATAGGCATGATTTTACTGACAGCTGTCGCAAAGATCAAGCTATCTTTTATGAACTATAAGCTCGTAACAATATTATACCAGGGGTAATATTGTTTTTATGGTCGTAGTGGATAAATATGAAATACTGATGCAGATATCGCGTAATATGTCTTGAATAATAAATTGTATGAATTCCGTTTAACCAGCGTATAAAGTCGTATTTTTAATTAAAAGAAGCTGCTTGACGTTTACTGGGTTGTCAGGTTTTGATGAATCAAAGATAGTGTTGTGACTAAATGACTGAACGGAAAACAAA